TACAAACATTGATGCTTGTGGGTGATAAACTTGTGATGGAGGACACTAGAACGTCACTTCTAGTGGATGATCTTCGAAAGATTGCAACTAGTGGCATGTCTACCATTAGTAACAAGGAGCAAGCTCAAGGATTGTTTGTAAGGGGTAGAAGCAATGTGCGACCAAAGGACAATGCAGAAAACTCTAGATCGAGTTATAGACCTCTTGCGGAAAGGTCTTGTTTCAAATGCGGCGAGTTTGGGCATTTCAAGGCGAATTGTCCAAACAAAAAGGGTTGGAAGAAGAACAATAAGAACAACAACAGTGGAAGGTGCAAATCAAGCAAGAGGTAAGCTATGCCTCGGAAGGAGGGGAAAGCGATGATTGCTACACCATCTCTTGTGATGAAGAGACCTCCGGTAAGTGGATTCTTGACTCTGGATGCTCTTACCATATGTGTCCAAATAGGAAGTGGTTTACTACCTATAGAAGCACTGATGGTGGAACCGTATTGATGGATAATAATCATTCATGTAAAACAGTGGGGCTTGGTTCAATTAGAATCAAGATGCATGATGGAGTGGTTAGAACATTGATGGATGTTAGGCATTGTCCTGATTTGCGAAAGAACCTTATCTCTGTTGGTGCCTTAGACTCCGATGGTTGCAAGATTGTAACATGGAATGGAGTAAAGAAGGTTGTTCATGGTTCTTTGATTGTGATGAAGGGTATTCGTGAAGGTAATCTCTATGCTCTTCAGGGTACTACAGTTACTAAAGATGTAGCAGTTGGAACAAGTGGAAGTGGTGGAGACCCATGTGAGTGCACTCGGCTATGGCATAGGAGGCTTGGGCATATGTCTAAAAAGGGGCTAGATTTGTTAGTCAAAAAAGGTTTGCTAAAGAACTTGAAGAAGCATTGCATGGATTTTTGCGAGCATTGCGTGTACGATAAAGCACACCGAGTTCAGTTCCAGCCAAGTAAACATAGAAGCAGAGGTATTCTTGACTATGTGCGCACGGATGTATGGGGTCCGGCTTCTGTCACTTCCAAAGGCGATTCCAGGTATTTTGTTACATTTGTTGATGATTATTCTAGATATGCTTGGATTTATTTTTTTAAGCATAAGAATGAGGTATTCGACATTTTCAAGAAGTGGAAAGCAATTGTTGAAAACAGAACAAGAAAGAAATTGAAGACACTGCGATCTGATAACGGTACTGAGTATACAGATAGTGCTTTCAAGGAGTTCTGTGGTAAGGAAGGCATTGTGAGACACTGGACAGTAAGAAATACACCGCAACAGAATGGGGTCGCGGAAAGACTGAATCACACTTTTTGAGAGAAATCGATGTGCATGCGATCCTATGCTGGTTTGGGCAGAGAATGGTGGGCAGAGTCAGTTGCAAATGCTTGCTACATTGTGAATCGATCTCCATATTCAAGGTTAGATGGAGATATACCTTACAGGGTATTGACAGGAGAACATGCAGATTATGAGAAACTCAGAACATTCGGATGCACAGCCTACTATCATGTCAACGAGGGAAAGCTTGATGCGAGGGCCAAGAAGGCTATATTCTTGGGGTATGCGGCAGGTGTTAAAGGCTATCGCCTTTGGTGTGTAGAGGATTCTAAGTTCATAATCAGCAGAGATGTTACTTTTGATGAGAACTCCATGGTAGCTTCGTTGAAAGCTACAGTGCCCGGTGGTGATGATGTTGAGACTACAATGTCTCAAGTTATTGACATAGAACCTAGAGATCAACCTGATTCTAGGCATGTTCAAGAGGAGCATCATACAGACACTCAAGATGAGAGTGATGATGGACTTGAACAAGAGGCGGTTCAGCAAGAGAATGTACAGGCACAGCAACAACAGCAGCTTGCAAATAACTTGGCTTCCTCTAGGCCACGCCGTACTTACAAGCAAGTTCTAAAGTTGGGGTCAGACGAGCCTTTGAGGCACTATGGGCAGACAAATTTGGTTGAGTATGCACTCTCGGTGGAGGATGATGAGCCTACCACTTTCAAGGAAGCTATTTTAAACAACAATAGCGAGAGTTGGTTGGCGGCAATGGAAGAAAAGATGGAATCACTTCACAAGAACCAAAGATGGGAGGTTGTCCCATTGCCCATAGGTAAGAAAGCTATTGGTTGCAAGTGGTTGTACATAAGGAAGGAGGACCCTACCAAGCTCGATGGTACAAGATTCAAAGCAAGATTAGTGGCTAAGGGGTTTGCAAAAAGAGTGGGAGTTGACTACAATGAGATCTTTTCTCCTGTGGTCAAGCACACTTCCATTCGGGTGCTATTGAGTATTGTTGCTCATCATGATCTTGAGCTGGAACAACTCGATGTCAAAACCGCCTTCTTGCACGGGCACTTGGATGAGGAGATCTATATGCATCAACCTGAGGGCTACAAGGTTGATGATAAGGAACGTCAGGTACGTCGCTTGAGAAAATCACTATATGGATTGAAGCAATCTCCTCGGCAGTGGTACAAGCGATTAGACTCCTTTATGCTAAAGCATGGTTTCTCCAGAAGTGAGTATGACTGTTGTGTTTATATTCGGAAACTTCGGGGAGGTAACTATATCTATCTTCTATTGTATGTGGACGACATGCTTATCGCTTCGAAAAGTAAGGTGGAGAGAGATAAGTTGAAATCTCAACTTTGTAAAGAGTTTGAGATGACGGATATGGAGGCTGCTAGAAAAATACTGGGTATGGAGATTAAAAGAGAGAGGACGAACCGGCGAATGTTCTTAAGTCAGAAAGGCTACATTGAGCGGGTTAATGCTAGGTTCGGGTTACAAGGTGCAAAGTCAGTGGTAACTCCATTGGCTCCACATTTCAGGCTCTTTGGTAAACAGTCTCCTACTATAGTGGAAGAAAAGGTACGCATGGATCGTGTGCCTTATGCTAGTGCAGTTGGCAGTTTGATGTATGCCATGGTGTGTACACGCCCAGATATTTCACAGGCGGTTAGTGTGGTCAGTAGATTCATGGCGAATCCGGGAAAGGCACACTGGGAAGCTGTGAAATGGATCCTGAGGTACTTAAAAGGTACCGCGGATACGGGTTTATGTTTTGGTGGAGATGCAGATCATATAAGTGGATTTGTGGACTCGGATTATGCAGGTGATTTAGATAGAAGACGATCTACTACTGGATATGTGTTTTGCATACATGGTGCCCCAGTTAGTTGGCGATCGATGTTACAAGCTACAGTTGCTCTTTCTACTACAGAGGCCGAGTATATGGCCATGGCAGAGGGAGTGAAGGAAGCATTGTGGTTGTGGGGTCTTCTAGATGATTTGGGGATTGAGCAGGATTGTGTGGATTTGTGGTGTGATAGCCAGAGTGCGATTCACTTGGCTAAGAATCAGGTTCATCATGCTCGAACCAAGCATATTGACGTCAGGTATCATTTGTGCGTGATGGTATAGAGGAAGGTGATATCTCACTCTCAAAGGTACACACAAATGAGAACCCAGCTGACATGTTAACCAAAGTGGTAACGAGTAGCAAGTTTCAACATTGCTTGGACTTTCTTCACATTAGTCCGTGTTAATACGCCCGAGAGGGCATGGCCCTTCGGGGCGGGGTTGAAATGAGGTGGAGTGTATATGAAGGTGGAGGTGAACTACGGAGGTTTGATCCCGAGTTATGGGTACGTAGGCAACCATGGTTTGAATGGTGCAGCCGAGTTGGTGCTTGCTTCTTCTTCTTGTATTCGTCCAAAATTTGAGGTCTATCAAATGATGTACGAGGTGGAGAATTGTGAGAAAGGAAGGGGGTTGGTTCTGCCAAGGAAGGGGGGCTGGTCGGCAGAAACATGGCGCCTAGGCGCCCCGAATGTGTAAACCATTCAGAAACACGGCACCTAGGCGCCACTAGACGCCCCGATAGGCTATATATATATAGCCAATTTTTCCTCCTTATAACATACAAGACCTAGAGGGAAAGGAGAGAAAACTTGTAAGAGGATTTTACAAGATTGAATGTTGTTCATCTTGGGTATAAATTCAAAGTTATTTTCTTTCTTGGGGATTAACTTGAGGCTTGTTCAAGTAATCCAAATACATTGTTATTCATATATTCCATTGAAATCATTTCTTCCTCATTTTCTTGTTCTTGAAGTGATTTGGAAATTTTCACATTGTCAACTTTGTTTGATCTTTGGGCTATCTTTGGGAGGTGTTTTCCCAACATCTGCAATACAAATTTGAGCTTTTCTTTACCTTCTAGAATTGTTAAGCTTAACATTATGAAAGAAAATAACTTGCAGCGAATATGAATAATCAAGAGAAGCAACACTGTTGAAGCTTTGATAATGAATTTTTTGAGCTTTTACACAAAGAAGACACTAAGATACTTGGTGCCTTTTACAAATTATTTGCCTTTATGATTCGAGTCAGCCTCTGTCTTACATGCTTTTCGCTGAACTACAATGGATTTTGCTATTACCAGCCACTAAAAATGTGAAACTCAGGCGATCCTAATTTCCATGCTCCATAAGTACAAGCCATTTTTCAATATAAGCTGATTTCTCCATATTCGAACTACGTTCTTTATGCTGCTGAAGAATATGGAGAATTTCTTCAGTTTGACCTAACAGGAGAGCTGCATGATGGACACTCTTCTCCCTCTCTTCTATGGCATTCTGCTGACATTTCATGGTTATAACACGCGTTAAATTGTTTAGACATGCTGCCATTACATCTGCTATCATTGTGGATAATTGGTTGAATAAGCCTTCATCCGTTAGGTGATCCTCGCTTTCAAGTACTAGTAAAATAGTTCTTGTCATTCTGTACATTGAATTAGCAGCTATAACCTCGACCGGCCAATTAAGAGGGTTTTTCATGCGGCAATCATTCACATTTCTCTTGAACTCCATTACTGTGTTTTCCGCTTGATCAGAGAGTTCTTGTAATGTCTCCTTGGAGTTTCGGCCTTTATTAGACATTTCATGGAGATCTTTGCGTAGCCATTTTTGATATAGTTCGACTGCTACCCACACGACATCTGCTGCATTTCGGATGTTTAGTCGAACCCCATTTCTATCCAGGCATTTCTCGATAAGTTTTACATAGAACATGCCTTCATTAACACTCGTAAGTAACCACTTAGTACTGTCTACTGGAACTTTTGGAAGTGCTATTGCAATACTTGTCAAGGTCACCAGATGTAAAGAGCAGCAATTAGGAGGTTCCTGAGAATGCAGACTGGGTACTTGATCATCATAAATTCCTGTCAAGCTGCTGAAGTTTTCAATTTTAAGTAGAAGGCTTTTCAGGTTCTTCGGTTGCTGATTTTTGCCTGTCTCGATCACTTTATCAACCTTGTTGCAGATGTTTTTAAGAGTCTTTGGAGGCTGCTCGACTTCACCTTCTAGTAGCAGAACATAACGGGTAAGATCCTGTTCTGTATTAACTTCTGATTCCGATTCTGAAAACCCATGAATATAGGATGTGCTAGATGTGGATTTATTCTTCAACCTTTTGATGCATTGGAAACACAAGATGATTCGACTCACGAAAAATACAGAGATAAGTTGGACTAATTTGCTGTGTAAAACAATCAAGATCTGAACTTTAATAACAAAACTCAGAACTAGTCCTTTTGCACCATGAAGAACTTTTCTCCACTTCCTGTCTCTAATTTCCAATGGCAAAGAGCTTTCCTTCCACTCCACCAACCTCTGTGTCCAGTAACTTTCGATTTTGAATGCAGTCTTAAAGCTCATCAGGCCTTTCGCAGAGTAAGCGAAATTTACTGCAGTCAACCATCTGAATGCAGGGGCAATTGTACCTACAATCACTCCAGCAGATTGTGCAATTACTATCCAAGTCGTCGACCAAGCATAGCTAGAAGCTGTTTCAATGAATGTTTTATGTTTTGAGGCCGTGTGAGCATGAGCTTCTGCGAAAATGAAAGCAATCACCAGACAAATGACGCTAGAAGTCGAACAGGTCACAGAACGTACAATCACGAATTGAGGGCTACTAGTTTCTGCCATCACCCAGTATTTCTTGATCATTTCTCGCAGTTTGTCCGTTTAGAGTTTCTCAAAGTCCACAGACTGCTCGAGTTCCTCCTCTGAAGCCAGTTTCACCATTTCTTGTTACTTCAATTCGAGATATTTTTTGGTGGTTGGGACCATTACAGCTGAAGCAGATAACATAACAAGCAAAAGAAGGATGGACAAATAAGCTATAATTTCCTCGGCGAACATTTCTCGACCGCCCAAAAAATGCCTCACTTGGATGATTTGGATACAGACATTAACAATGACTGTGATAACAAGAATGGCTAAAGCAATTACATTTAGCAGAATCTCTTTATCATTCATGGATCCCAAAGATGTCATGAAGTTTCCCATAGCAGTTGACAGGAAAATTAGGCTACTGACCTTTGCAAGCCTATCAGTACCAGCCCACATACGAGTCGTAAGATCAACGGGTAGCTTCATTGCAACTGCTAATAATGACAACGAAGTAGCATTGATTGCGAAATACTTCGATGGGAACCATAACTTCTTGGTTCGAATTTCACAAGAACCGTTGGGTTCAGTTCGGATTCGGTTCGATTGGTTCGGTTCGAAAAATTTGCCCGGCCCTAACTTTGGTTCTGTCATTATTTTATTATATTATAGTATACTTATGTAAAAGAGCAAGTTGTTCATAAATAAATAAATAAATTTTTTTTTCTTTCAACTACTTTGGTTCTGTCATTATTCTATATATATATATATATTATTTACACTTTATCTTTAAGAATATGGATTAATCTATTCAAATAATATAAAGAAAATGCTAAACCCCAGTCCCCAAACATTACAACTTGTTACACTTGAATTCCCATTCAAATTTTGGCCACATATAGGTCTTCAAGATGTCATTTTCGGTCCACGTTTAAAAATGGCCTTCAATCGTTTAAATTTCACTTGAAAGAATGTGAGCTTAGGTTATAGGTAGACAAAAATACCCTTAAAAGAATGGATACGAGCCTTTCAAGTGGCACTTAGACCGAAAGTTGTACAATCTTCGTCCATTTGTCCTTTAGCGCAGCAAATATGATTATTTGGGGTCCTAAATGAGAGAAAAAATTTGAACAAGGACCCAAGTGAATCACGTGGCAATGTTTGGGGAGCTACAGGTGAGAATTTCCCACTAAAATAATGTTAATAAAATTTATTGAAATCAACTGCTTACCAAATCTATAATTTTACTCCTAAGGTGCCACCCCCTAAATTCTTAAAGAGTAATATTATTCAACATCATTAGTATCAAGCACCAATTTAAATGGTATCTGAATGATATTAAATGATAGATTCACTTAAATACAATATCACATGTTCAATTTAATTGATCCTATTAAATGTCACCTACACTAGAGTTTACATCAATGTCTCAAAATTGGAGCTAACAAAGTTTATTCCAATTGCAACAATAATTAGAGCAATATGGTAAACATGGAAGTGGAATCCACTTATCTTGTTACATATTAGAAATTAGCAGATACAATATAAGATTCTATTGATCACAATTGATCGAAGATAATTCATTCATCCATCCGCTAAACATATCAAATCATTCAATAAATTCTTATAAATAAACAAGAAACCTTAAGCACCATATCCAAAACCCCAAGAACTCAAATGAAGAATTTCAGCCAAAAGCTAAGAATTAGATGCTCTCTATGTATCAAGCGCCTCTACAATAATTTCTATAACAGGGCAAAGCCACATGAACCTAAGTTTTTCTATCAAATCATGTTATGCTTAGGATTGTGCTTTTGGTCATTTTTCATGTACATTCCCTAAATTTTTATCGCACATACAATTAAGTCCTCGACTTCTACCAAACTAGGAAAGAAGAGTAATGTTACACGTACATCAGTGTATCCATAACGCCCCTTCACATGAAGGGGGTCCACTTTGAATTAAATATAATTTATTCGAAGTGGGTCACCCTCCATGTGAAGGGTAGACACCGTTATTTACACCACATTATCTAAAAAATGCATATTCCAAGAAAGAATCTGTTAGGACATATATAATATAAGCTCAAATAATTGGGTTCTACCTAGTCCATGTTGGATTCAAACCAATTATTAATATTCGTGCTTTGAACATACAAGATTGACAATACAATTCAATCATGTAAAGACATATTTAGACAATACTGCAAGGAATTCAACCTTATATCCTCTGATGCCAATTAAAGAATTTCCATCATGCCTAAACATAATTTCTATTGAAGAATTCTTGCTTGAAAACGAAGAATTTTCTAGATCTTCATGACTAAATCAAGGGAATGCAATTATTATCCACGATCTAAGTGACAGGATTTTTGAGTTTCTAGCCAAAAATATGATTCCATGCCCTCTCCATTTTTGGCATATTTTCATGCGCGAATTTCACCATTTTTTTCATCCAACATTTCTCTCATTTTTGTGCAAGACATGCTTAAAGAAGTTGTGGGGGTGTTTATTGAGGTTGGGGGAAGTTATAAGTATGAATTCTAACCTCAAATCATTCCCTCCAATCCATTAAAATATCTAGTGGGCAAACCATGACCCGTTTTCTATGAGAATCCAGAGTAGCAAAGATTGATCATTGTTGAGGTTCCTAGACTGGGGTATCATTGTTGAGACACATTCACAAATTACACTGCATATTACTATGAAATACTAATCTCATTTTCTTTACTTTTCATAAATTAGATTTAGAATTGTTATGCCAAGCATTAAGCTTTGATTATGAATTTTCGCACTCCTAAGACCCTGAGATACTTCGTGCCAAGCAGCGTCCATTTCTCCGGTACTGAATCTGTTGTTTGTTATCAATTGGATTCACGAAAAAATTGATAAAGTTCTGAAGATAAACAGGGCTAATTTTACAAAAATAAAGTTCCTGAGGATATAAACGGATCAAATTTTACAAATTATTTTACGCACTTGCCTATAGGATTGAACTTGGTTGATTCTAATTTCCATGCGCCCTTAGTATAAGCCATTTTTCAATATATGCAGACTTATCCATATTCAAGCTTCGTGCTTTATGCTGCTGTAGAATTTTTAAAATTTCTTCAGTTTCACCCAACAGGAGAGCTGCTTGATGGACACTTCTCTCCCTCTCTTCAATGGCATTTTGGTGACATTTCATGGTTATAACTCGTGTTAAATTGGTAAGACAAGATGCAATTACATCTGCAATCACCGTCGTCAAGTGGTTGAATAATCCCTCATCAGTTAGGGGATCATCACTTTCGTATACCAGCAAAAGAATTGTTGTGATTCGGTACATTGAGTTGGCAGCTATGACCTTATCTGGCCAATGAAGAGGGTTTTCCATAAGGAAGTCTTTCACATTTCGCTTGAACTCCGTTACTATCTTTTCAGCTTCATCAGAGAGTTCTTGCAATATCTCCGTGGAGTTTCTGCCTCTACGAGATGTTTCATGGAGATCCTTGTCTTGCCACTTTCTATATAGATCGAGCGCTACCCACACGATGTCTGCTGCATTTCTGATGTTTAGTCGAACCCCGTTTCGGTCCAGGCTTTTCTCGATAAGTTTTACATAGAAGAGGCCTTCATCAACGCTGCTGAGTAACCAATTAGTACTATCGATTGGGATGTTTGGAATCGCAATGGCAATACTTGTTAGAGTCACCAGAGTTAAAGACCAGCAATTCGGAGGTTCCTGATAATGCAGACTCGGGACTTGATATTCGTCAATTTCTCTGATGCAGCTGAAGTTGCCAATTTTAAGGAGAAGATTTTTCAGGTTCTCCGGTTGCTGTTTTTTACCTCTCTCGATCACTTTATCCACCTCGTTGCAGATGTTTTTAAGGGTCTTTTGAGGAAGCCCACCTTCACCTTCGAGTAGCAGAACATAACGGGTAAGATCCTGCTCCGCCTCCATATTAACTCCTGATTCTGATTCTGAAATCCCATGAATGCGTGATGCGCCAGAGTTGAACATATTCTTTAACCTTTTGATGCAGTGAAAACAAAAGATTATTCGACTCACAAAGCAGATAGAGATAAACTGGACTAGTTTGCTGTACAGAACTACAAAGATTTGGACACTAATAACAAGGTTCAGAATTATTCTTCTTGCATCATGAAGAACTTTTCTCCATTTCCGGTCTCTAATTTGCAGCGGTAAGGAGCTTTCTTTCCATTCCACCAGACTCCGCGTCCAATAACTCTCGATTTTGAATGCAGTTTTAAAGTTCATTGGGCTATTCTCCGAGCTTACGAAATTTACAGCAGTCCACCATCTGAATGCAGGAGCAATGGTACCAATAATCACTCCAACAGATTGAGCAAGTACAATCCACTTCGTCGACCAGTCATACTTAGAAGCTGTTTTGCTGAATGTTCTATATTTTAAGGCCATTCGAGTCTGAGCTTCTGCCAGAATGATAGCAATCGCCAGAGAAATAACACCTGAAGTCAAACAGGTCACAGAACGTACAATCACGAATTGAGGGCTGCTAGTTTCTGCCATCACCCAATATTTCTTGATAATTTCTCTCAGGTTATCTGTGGTAAGTTTCTCATCAAACTCCACGGACTGCACTAACTCTTCATCTGAAGCCAATTTCAGCATTTCTTGATATTTTAATTCAAGATATCTCTTGGTGGTCGGAACCATTATAGCTGAAGCAGATAACATAGCAAGCAAAAGGAGGATGGAGAAACTGGCAATAATTTCCTCGACGAACATTTCTCGACCGCGCAGAAAACTCCTCACTTGGATGATTTGGATACACCCATTTACCATGACTGTGATTACAAGAATTCCTATAGCAATTACATTCAACAGAATCTCTTTATCATTCATGGATCCCAAAGATGTCATGAAATTTCCCATGGCAGCCGACATAAAGATTAGGCTACTGACCTTTGCAAGTCTATCTGTAGCAGCCCACATACGAGTCGTAAGATCAACTGGCAACTTCATTACCACTGCCAATAATGATAAAGAAGCAGCGTTGATCGAGAAATACTTGGATGGAAACCATAACT